AATCAAGCCAAGTACTCCACAACAACACATTTGGAGCAATTAATGCAAATATCATGCTCTATGCATATGCATTAATTTGACCAAAATGAATTATAAAGGACCAGAAAAATGTTACTTTTATTTAAATCAACAATTTGTCATTGTTTTTCACTTTTCATTCATTAATACTGACAAGCATCGGGGCGGGGGGGGCAGTACCACCCAGTACCACCAGTGGGTACTCCCTGGCTCTGCCCATAGGTGTACCACAAAGTGAGTTCAACTAATTCTGGCTAATTTGGTGTTATCTGGCTTCACTGAGCCTAACATTGACTGTCCTGGTTAACTGTTACCAAGTGATTCTGTTGATTTTTTCCTGTCAGTCTATGAGCATGACCATGTGAAACCGGCCAAGCTGTTCCTTAAGTGTCATCACCAGTGCTATGAATGAAGGACATGTTGTGTTTAGGTACATGCACCTGGCAGCATCTTTTGATAGGCCTGGAAATAAGAATGTGAGCCTGCAACAATATTTAAATTTAGCATCGTGATGTAGCCCAATTAAATGCAGGTCTGAACTAAGCCCACTATTAGCTGTATAGGACACCCACTAATCATGGTAAAGGCACCAGCTATAGCAACCGAAAAATGCTGAAAGTATGAATGGGATCTCCACAGCTGTACAACTTGTTGCCAATTCACAGCCAGAAATTACAAGTTTTAAATCAGTATATGTATTGAAAAACACTTTCTTGTCCTCCTTGCAACCACTAGTCGAGCTTCTGTGCCAAATTAAAATTATGGTGGTAGGATAACTGGTTATGAAAAACACAACAAAATAACCCTAAACCCCAAACGAGAATTTAGCTAACATGAGCACAGTGTAATTCTGAATAAGTAAAATTAAACAAAATGGCAGTTAAGTCTGATTATTAGGTTGGTTTTGTTTTGGTGTAGTTTTAATACTTTCACTATTTATACTTTATATTATGCTTACATGGCACATATTCTTGAATAAATGTGTGAATCCAAAGGTGCCCAACAGCAATCAATTATTGGGTTAATCTGACCATGGCTGGATGCAAGGAGTGACCTGAGCACCTCACCTAGCCCCCCGACTCCCTGCCACTGAGGTACACAGTCCAGTTGATGACACAGACAGTAATTTTGTTTCCTTTTACAAGTATTAGTGTAGATATCATATAAAAATTAGGACTGTAACTTTTTTTAATCAAATTATTAAATGCATGTTCAGTGCAACAGTGCACGTGCTAACACGGTTTTTACTCTCTATTTTAATGTGTCATGAGAAAGTACTATGAAGGGTTGAGATCTAGACTGAAAAGGTATGTTTTTAGCCTGCCACAAAACATCACCAGTGAGTCCACAACTCTGGTTTCAGTTGGAAGCTCCAGTCTGAGATGTGTAAGCACAGGGTCCTCAGAGTGATGGGATGGCTAAACTTCCAGAGGCAGTGGAGTGCAACCATTGAGGCCGGAGCTCTGGTTTGAACAAGGCTTGCAGGAGCAATTCCCTTCACTGCTGTGTAGACCAGCATCAGAATTTTGAAATTGATGCAAGCTGTAATGCAGCTATTGTATTTAGTAAAAGGAGAAAATTATATCAGTGGTGACAGACAAGTCTCGGTAAGAAGACCCTTGAATAAAGATTTTGCTTCACCAGGGGAGCTTTAGCCTTTGAGATGTGCCTCCACTCTGAGATGTCAGCCAGGCATATGGAGGGAATGACACAAAAAGCTGAATATCATCAGCATAGCAGCAGTAGAAGCCATATGAGTGTGTGACAGCATGCGTAAAGAAAGGACAGGCCTTAGGACAGAGCCATGTTGTACTCAGGCTGGGTGGTTCAGACACAAACCCTTTCCATGTCACCTGGCAGGAACAACCCTTCATATAGGATACAAACAGAGAGAGAGTGAAAAGGAGGATCTAGTGGTTAATATTTGAACAGCATTATCTGTGAACCAGAGACTCTGTGATGTGTATACAGTCATATTTTTGATAATACTTTGTGAAGGTAATAAGTTGATCGGTAGTACCTACACACTACTAAAGTGTTTTTTCTCATGTAGGTCTATCTATTCCCAGACATTTACACCACATATCTGCACTACCTGCACTCACTGCTGCATAAAAGTCCTTACACCTCCATGTTTCTGAAAAGTAGGGCATCTGAGTGTGTATGTGTTTCCGTCAGTCTTCTTTCTCTCTCTCTCTCTCTCTCTCTAACACACTCAAATGGAAGTGTGTGTCCCAGTCGGAGCACAAGCGATCCATCCCGCCTGCCCCCATCTCTGATGTAACAACACTGATTCATTCTGTACCACACACACTCGCTCAAGCCAGACTACATGACCATATAAGGACAGCAACAACATTCTTTGTCACTAACGCAAACACACACAAACATATCCCTTGTGGGCCCTGGTGTCTGTGAAGTGAGAAGTGCTGAATGGAACCAACTGTATTCTTGCTTATGTTCTGAGACACACTCAGACATACTCACATGGGCACAACAAGAACATACACAAAGTATTTTAAAATAAAGCTTAATTAAAAAATGGTGTTGTTTCTAAACCTATTCTTGTCATTGAGATGACATGCTGCCTCTTATCCCTTATAAGCACACCCAAACAGTCTGTCATAGGCAGATGGCCAGCACATCTGGCCAAGCCTTTGTAATCATATCAGCACACAGCTGTAAGACCATATGACATACAGATCAAAGAACACACACAAACCAACACCCGTGCAACAGCATAACAAGCTTTTCATGTCATTAAATGGCTGCCAGAATGCTTGAGCAGGAGACTGGGACAGAGGACAGTAGAAGAAGAGAGACCGTCCTGAGTATCCAGAGAGAGACAGGGCATTGCCTGTATTTCAATTTGAGTGTGTTTGTGCCATAGACAGTGTAGAGGGAGGTAAAATCAGAAAGAGGAAAACTGTGTCAAACATTTAACTGGTGAGTCAGCTCTTTTGAAAACAGTTTACTCTTTTTGTGAAGCTCCATTTGCAGTTTTTAAATAGTTCTTAATAGTTCAATATTTTAGGAAGTTAATTTATTGTATGTACCTGCTTGCTGAGGGTTAGATGAGAATACTGCTCTCATACCTGTATAGTAAAAATGAAGATAAAATCAAATCAAATCAATTTTATTTGTATAGCGCCAAATCACAACAAAAGTCATCTCAGGATACTTTACAAAGTAAGGTCTAGACCTTACTGTTATCACTATTATTACATAGGGAAGATAGAGCTAGAGCTTTACTCACAGGTTAAGAAAATCCACCTACTAGCAGCTCTACAGCTAAATAATTAACTCATTACACCTTGATGGTAAATCATAGCCATCTTACAGCACATCAGTGGGACTAATGTCTGAAGTATTGTTGTCACTGTGAAGCTGCAACTAGTGGAGACCCTGGGAAGTCTCCACTAGTTGTCAGGCAAATAACATCCATATATACAGTAAACTGCAGTGTAAAACAGCACTTTGGTTTTTACTACATTCACATTACATGCTGAATTAGCTTAAATTTAATTTAGTTATTTATATTTTTATGGTCCTATCAAGTGACCCAGATCTGATCTTTTCACAGAAATATGAACAAAGTAAATCATTTTTTTTCATTTCAGATCTAGAGTTATATGCATATGTAGTCCAACATTCATATCACCTGTCTGACTATGTGAGCACTGTCAGAGTAGTGAGATCAGAATTCATGTGGGTATTTTCACCTTTCATCATTCACCTCATTCACCTATCATCATCATTCAGCATCAGCCCCTCACAGACCAGTGAAAATACACAGAGAGGAAGTGAGTATTAAGGCCTGTAATAGGAATGTAGTCTCGATGACCTTTGAACAGAGCCAAACTAGCTGTTATCCCTTGTTTCATGTCTTTATGCTAAGCTAACAAATTCCGGGCTGTAGTTTTTTTTATCTATGGTACAGACATGTGAGCAGTGTCAATCTCAAGGGAAACCGGTGTACTGTATTGAATCATTTCCCATTACTAACTATAAATTATATTGATTTTTTTTGTATATTAACTGCAAATCACTGCACAGTAAAGATCAGGATGTATGCCATGTAAATAGTACGCATGTGCTATATACTGTAGGATTGTTTTATAGATAAAAAAACACTAGATGTCTGACTTCAGATGTCACTCACCCAAGTATTCTGTGTAGGATTGAGGGAAAATAGCACGTGTTGTATAGATTAAGTATACCTCCACAACCTTTTACCTATTTTACATAAATCCATCTCCTGTATTGTTACTGGACTTCTGTGCTAGCCACAGTTTGTCCATAACGAACACCATGTTCAAGCATTAGGGTGTCCATCAGTGCACATGGCACCAGGACACCCTAGGCCAGAGGTCGATGATCGACTTTGTGGTTGTTTCATCTGACCTCCGGCCGTATGTCTTGGACACTCGGGTGAAGAGAGGGGTGGAGCTGTCAACTGATCACCACCTGGTGGTGAGCTGGATCCGATGGCGGGGGAGGAAGCTGGACAGACTCGGCAGA